TGGGCCCCCTTTTTTTGGGGGAAGGGCAAACTGGGGTTCCCCCCCCCCCTTTTTCGGGGGGGGAAGGGGGGGGAAACCCCCTCCCCGGGGGGGGGTTTCGGGGCTTTTCCCCCGGGGTCCCCTTCCGGGGGAAACCCCCGGGGCCTTTTTGGTCCCCCCAAAAACCCCGGGGGGGGGAAGGGGGAAAACCCCGGGGGTACCCCTTTTGGCCCGGGGTTGATTGGGGCCCGGGGTTTTAAATTAGAACCCCTTTGAGAAATTTGGGGATTAAATTTTCCCGGGGTTCCGGGGGAAGGGTTTAAAAAATTTTGGAAAGGATCCCTTTTTGGGAAAGGGGGGGGCCCCCCCCCCCCCCCCCCCCCGCCCGCCACCAGCGACCCTTGAGAAAACCCAACTACATTCTGATACCACGCATTGCCCCACGACCTGAGACCGAAATCTCCCCGCCTTTCACCGCAACTTACTTAATGCCGACCCTCTTCTTGCTTGTTTTTTCCCTCCTATTTTCAGCGCCGAATCATGGCGTCGGCGACGGCGGGCAGAAGCTTCTTTCTCCGCACACACAAGAGGGCACCATGTACCCTAGCGGGAACTACAACTACAACGACAACGAGTACTACTACGAGGAGGAGGAGGACACGGCGTGCTCGCGCTGCTCCGTTTGGGCGTGCTTCGGCTGGAACGGAGAAGATCAGGGCAAACGTTTCTTCTCGGTAAGGACCCAGCGCTGCTGCTGCTGCTGCTGCTGCTGTTGTGCGTTCGACACTTTTTGTTGTTGCCGTGTTTGTTTTTCTATAATTTTGGTTGTTGCCTAGGTCTGTGTGATCTTGGGGGACTTGCTAACTCGAAGTAAAAAAAACGGCCAACAAGACAACAACACGCAGCACGTGTGTAAAGCCTCCGTCTTTGTATCTCGGAGGCAGGCAGGTTCCTTTTTTTTGTTATGATGCAGGCGGTGATCATTTTGTGTTCGTCATGCCCGTCGAAAGAGCTGTCGTGATATCGTCCGCCTCAACGAGGCAAGCCTGTCTGCATTCTCTCCACGCATCGACGTCTCCCTCGCCGCCACCAACTTTGTGGGCGTTTTGGCTGCTTGTTTACCGTTCTCGGACCGCACAAGGTGCCACCGTCGGCTAAAGTAGGGTGGTGGAGGACGGTGGACCTGGTGCTGGTGCTGGTCGTTGCCGGCGAGTCGATCGTGTCCATGGCCACCTACCTTGCCGAAGGGGACTATCGGGTAGTGCACGCCTTGCAGGTAGGAGGAGGAGGAGGCGTTTGTTCTTTTATCTCTTCCCTTTTGTTTTTTCTCTCTTGTGTGTGCCCTGGGGCTGGAATGAAAGTCGTTTCTTCTCTCTCTTCTCTCTCTTCTCTCTCTCTCTCTCTCTCTCTCTCCTCTCTCTCCCTCACTCTCTCTCTCTCTCTTTCCTTCTCTGCGTGTGCCCTGCGGGTGGGAGGAGGAGCGTTTATTGTTATCTCTCTATAACTTTGCTCCTCTTTCTGTGTGTATGCTTTCTTTGATTCGCTCATGCCGGCGACCCGACAGTCTTCGTTCTCACGTGCATAAGTTGTAAGGTCCACGTTTTGCAACGTACTTCGTACGTGTTTTGTGGAATGTGCGGATGGTACATCCTCTCCACCTACGGGATAAGTTTTTTATCGACCGCCGTGCTGCTCTATCGGACAACTGCTGGTCCGATCGCTTTGCGTGCGTCGGGACACCGGCTGCGTCTGCGTGTATGTGCTTCGCTTGCGATGTCTTCACTTCGTGTGAAGGTCGTGAAACGGTAGTGTACTGCTCGTGCGTTTGTTTGTGCGCCCGTGTGGACACCGGCTGCTGCGTGTGTGTTCCTGCCCTGAGTCGCCTTTGTTTCGTTCTTTCGTCGGAAGGCCACGGGAAAGCCGTGTGGCTTGGTCTCGTATTTTCAGCTCCCTCTGCTGCTGCGTCCGCGCTTTTATGTGGGTTGTTGCCGTCCAACAACAACAACAACAGGGCCTCGTAATCCTCAGGTGGTTCCCGCTCATGTTCTGCCCCTTCCCTCCCGCGGAGGGCCACGACGACCTCCACGACGTCGGCGGGGCCACCGTGCACCACGACCCGCTCAGCCACAACGCCCGCGAGGAGACCCTCAAGGAAACCCTGGCCCTGCTGCGGGGCCAAACCAAGCTCACCGCAGTCTTTGACGGCAACAACATGTGAGTGTGTGTCTACCGAGTGTTATTCTTGGTAGGTTTAGGGTCCTTGACGGGATAGCTCTGACGAGTAGAGAACGGGAGAACATGACCTTCTCACGACTCTTCGGTTATTTGGACACAGCGGGCGGGCGGACGGGTACATCTAACCGCACGAACTTCGGTGGGTGACCGGTTTTGACCGGCCCTCGGTGCTGGACGTTGCTTTGGGTCGCGCATTTGTTTCGCGTTGAAGAGCCGAATGTTGGGTGTGTGTTTGTAAGTAGCATGTGTCTTTTTCTCTCTCTCTTGTTTTGGTACATGTGCTCCACTCCTGTTGCGACTCGCGTACGCTAGCGTGTTTTGGCGGCAATCACCGGTGTTTCTCTGCTTGTTCTGTCTCATCCGGGGATTTCAGAGCTCGGCGATCTCCTCTTTTCCTTGGCTCTCTCTATCTCTCTCTTTCTCTCTCCGTCCCTCGATTTCTCTCTAATGTACACGGTACTCGTTGTACTCATGTCGCGGCAGTACGTTTAAGTCCACCGTGGTTGAGGAGAGAGCGCCAACCGTTTAACAGTGTTCATATTCCTTTGTTCGATAAGACTGTAGGCACTCCATGCGTTGGCCAATCGGTGCCTACCAAAGACGAAGCACGCGGCGTGGCCGTCCGTGGCCGTCCAGTCAGCAGTCACCCAGTCACTACGCTTGTCGCCATTACTCCTACCCTGGTGTACGGGACAAGGCTCAAGGACACATGTCCCACCGTATGTGTGTGTTGTGTGCGCGTTGTGCTCAAGGACACGTTCCCGCCTTTTGTGTGTCACGTGTTCCGCGCTTTGGGGCGTTGATTTTTTGCAGGGGCCACGCAGACGGAGGGAACCTCACTGCGGGCGATGATACCGACAAGCTGGTGAGTCTGCTCTGGTCGCGTTCTTCGGTTCTCCCACGCTTTGTTTCTCGTTCCGTGGTACTCACGGTCAACGTGTTTCGCATGGCCTGGGATGCAGAACGTGCTCCGTTTACTTCGAAGAGATACCGAGGCCTTGCGTTCTGTCAAGTCCTACTCGGATGGCCACTAGCGAGTCCGTTGTTATGGTGTCATTGAGGCTTCGTGGATTTGGTCAACACCTCAGGCGCTCCACCAATGGTACGTACTGGTTGTTCTTGTTTTCTCGGTTTGCTGGCCGACACATATAATCTCTCCATCTCTCCATTGTGTTATCCTACGATTTTTTGTTTTGTGTGTTGTCCTACGGTGGATCCCATTGAATCTCAGCTGACACTATCCCAACACCATGACGCCCACATACGTCGTACGCGACATACAGTAGACCGAGATCAGTTGGTCAGCTAGCTTGTACGAACGAGGACAGTTTGCGTCTCGGCGATCGGTCTGTTCCAACCCGTCCGAACACCGGCACGCAACACCGTTGTGGCGAAGCGGTGTAGAGTTGTATGCTCCCTCGAGAGAGGTAAGAATGTCTGCATCTCCGAAAAAGAACAAGCCTCCCCTCATCCTCGTTGATCGGCGATGCAACCGTTCTTCGCGTAACAATTTTTGTGTTTTCGTCGATTGGCAAGATGCTGGCAGGGTCCGGGATAAGTTAAGAATAAAACAAGCACAAACATGTTTTATTTTTCGCCGGGAACAGGGACAACCATCCAACATCCAACCTTTAAAGCTCGCAAAGACACAACAAACCCTTCGCCTCGCGTCCGAGTGCACCTCACCCAGCCGTTTCCCATTTGTGTCCATGGGGGCTACCGCTTGCGTCGTGTCTCTTTCTCGCCGCGATATCCGGCAGCAGCAGCAGCAGCAGCAGCAGCAGCAGCAGCAGCAGCAGCAGCAGCAGCAGCAGGGATCCGCCGCCATGACGAGAACAAACGCTGCCTCCGCGGAGGAAGAGAAGGGCGACGGCGGCCTCATCTACCCGAACAGCGGCAGCAGCGGCCTCGCCGCAGGAGGAGGAGGAGGAGGAGGAGGAGGAGGAGGAGTACCGGGCGGCATAGCGAACGTCGGCGTGGCTGTCGCCCTCCGCGAGGCCTGCGCCGCGCACCCGGACCTCGTCCGGTCCCACGGGCCCCTCAGCGCGCCGATCCTGCGAGCCATGGTAGGGCTCGACCCCCACAAGATGGCTCGCAGGGATGACGGCGCCCAGGCTCTCGACATGGCGGCCCGGGCCGTCGCCGTCGCCCGCGGGGTTCCGCGCTCGAACGCCCCGGTGGTGGGTGGGGGGGACGGTGCCCCCGTGGGGGGGGCGACGCGCCTCCGCAGGCAATCGTCGGGAGGCAGCGTGGGGGGGGGGGGCAGGGAGTCCCCGTCATCGTCGTCACCCCCCCGTCGGAGACCGCACTTGTCGTCGTCTTCCAGCGAGCTTTCCACGTCGGAGGAGGAGGGGCAGGAGGGAGGGGAGCAAGTCTTGGGGGGGAAAAGGTTCGCACCCAAGTACGAGCCTCACTCGCGGTAAGCTGTCGAGCTTGATCGGTTTCGGGTCGCGCCACGGTTCCCGCCACGGGTCGCGCCACGGGTCGCGCCACGGGAGAACAGTAGAATTGGTGCCGGCGTACCGCCAGCACCCGGACCAGCTCCAGCACCAGCAGCAGTTGATGTTCCAGCAGCAGCAGCAGCAGCAGCAGCAACAGCAGCAGCTGTTTTTCCAGCAGCAGCAGATGCAGCTCCACTACCAGCTCCAGCACCAGCAGCAGCAGCCGCGCGGCGGCCAACAGGGCCTCATGAGCTCCATGGAAGGGGGCAGCGCGTTCCACTCGCACGGCGGTGTCGGCCTAGACGCCAGCCACGTTGGCTCCAGCATGCCCGGCGGCTACGTTGGCCCCGGCATACCCGGCATACCCGGCGCCTACGGGCTCGGACGCGGCGCGATTGCTGTCCCGCCGGCGTTGCGAGCCCGCGGCGGGGGGCTACCCGACAAGGCTCTCGGGGTCCAGCTCCCACTCCAAGGGCAGCGCCGGCGGCAGGGTCAGCTCGTCCAGCCGCCACCACCACCGCCGCCGCCGCAGCCGCTCGCGCTCGGCGACGGCGGCGGCGGGGGGCGAAAACCCCGTCGTCCCGCCCGCGATCGAGGACGTGGAGCGGCCGGTGCTGCGGTCCTTCGCTAGCTTCGCCAGCGCGGGCGGGGGGGACGGGTCCCAGCACGGTCAACGTTCCGCCGACGCCGCGGCGACAGCCGGCGGGTTCCCGGTCCCAACCGGCAGCGCCGGCTCCGTTCCCTACTCGAGCTCCCGCCGCGGCACCGCCCGCCACGGCATGCCCGGGGGCACGCACCACCGACGGCGGAGTCACGGACACCAGGGGACCGATGCCGCCGCCAACACCTCCGCGGAGAATGAGACCTCGGGACGGGCGGCGGGGGGCCCGCAGGTGGCGCAGGCTGCCACCCTGGTCGTACCGGACCTGGGTGTCGGAGGAGTCTCCGGGAGTTCGGACGTCGTGCCGGCGGCGGCGGCAGCGGAATCTTCCGGGTCCGGGAGAGGGAGGGGCTCGTCAGCTCCCGCCGACCTTGAGAACGCGGCTGCGGGCGCGGGTGGCCGTAAGGCTAACCGTTCGGAGTAGATTAAGCGGGTTCCGGTCGATTATTTGATAGGTCTGGATTTTGCTCTCAACGATGGTGTCTGCGAGGTGGTCGTCTGCATGCAGGGCATAGTAGAGAGGGGGGAAGGATCATTGTGTTGCCCGTTCTACCACCGTCAAGAACTCCCGTGGGAATCGGACTTTTTGGCGAAAGGTTGCCCGGGGTTTGATTGATGGTCGAAAGGAAACCCAAAACTGTACAGTATTGAAACCCAATCCACATGTAGACCTACACCAACGTGTATGACATTTTTGATGCAGTTGTTGCTGCTGCTGCTACTGTGTGATGCTACCCAGGCACGAATGCTTGCTTCACTGGATATTTGTTCTTGTTTGTGTGAATTCATAAAGTTTGATGAAGGTGTTCATCTGTTGTGTATCGCCTTGAAGGCGTTCCAGGTGCTTCTGGTACATGGTACCGGCATGCTCGTGCACCTTTTTTATTTCATAAACATGTTCTTGTACTTTTTGTCAGTTCTTGCCGGGGATGGAGTATTATAGCGTGACGACAAAGTGCGGTGGTGATTCCGGAAAGATTTGTTGGCATTCTCACTCGTCCTTCCTTTGTGTTTGCGTTTTTGGTACCGCTCGCTCTGCAGGGACAAAAATGAAAGCTATACGTTATGTGAAACGTTTCCTTCTTGTTTTTGTTGATATAGCGACTCTTGGGATGTGAATTAGGTAGGAGAGACCCCCCCGTCTGTGTATTGACGACACATGCAAGCGCATACCGACGCAGGCGGGTCAGGTCTACATATGCTTGCCATCAAGAACTGGGCTCTCCGCAGCAGCTGCGTACGCGCTTGATTCCTTGCAGATAGAGAGAGAGAGAGAGAGAGAGAGAGAGAGAGAGAGAGAGAGAGAGAGAGAGAGAGAGAGAGAGAGAGAGAGAGAGAGAGAGAGAGAGAGAGAGGGCCCGCGTGGGTAGAGTGAAGCAAACGTAGGGCGTAGCGTACACGAGGTTTGTGCACTGCTGTGTTGTAAGGCAGCGTTAGCGTGGTCGTGCTTTCGCCTGCCTGTTTTTATATTCTTGTTTTCGACATCAGGAAATTTTCTCTTCGGAAAAGTTGGCGTCACGTCGAGGGCGGCGACATTTGAGCGGATTTGAGATGCCAAATTTTGGGATGTTGTTGTGACGATCTGTTCGTGCGTTGCTGCCCGGTTTCGTCTTTCTCAGGGAGTAGGTTTTCGAATTGGTCGGCGTGTCTCGTCTTGTTTTGTTCCTGAAAATATTTGCTGGTGAGTTTTCGTTGTTCATGTTGTGCTATACACTGTTTTTTTAACAAGTTGTGACATCTTGATAGTTTTATTTGTGTTGGATACGCTTTCTTCCGCCTGTTTTTTTTTGTTGGGGGGGGGGGGATCCCGATAGATGCAAGGCCTAGCCGCTCACTTAAGTGGGGAGGTGGTTGCGGTGGTGGCGGCGGCGATGGCCACTGATGCGGAGACCGTGGTGTACGAGTGCTGTGTGTCAACGGTCATTCGGCTGAACCGCCTCTAGCGAGATGAGTAGGCAGGCGGGGCGTCGATTCCCATAGGCCACTGCCAAAGAATGCGCGGTCGCCCGCTGGTTGTGTGAGTGGGGGTATCTGTGGCGAACGGTAGGACTACTAATGAGTGGCGTTAAAAGGAACGTACTTTTTTGCGGGTGGTCCCGGCGCGATTTTTTGGGGTCCAAGCGGTCTGTCGATCGCATTCCAATTTCACCACGAAGTTCGCAACGAAGACGCAAGCATGTCCATTGTTGCAAAGGCTACATGTATAAGATCGTTCGCCTTACGCTATCGTGTGCCGCGCCTTGTTCTCCCCGATCCTCCTTCCTTCGGCAAGAACAATCGGCTTAGGGGTCTGTCTTGTCATTTGCAAACAAAACGCGGCCCGTTGCCCCACGCGGGAAGCACCACGCTGGGAGGGACAGCCATGCACGAAATCGTCAGAGTTGTTCAACGGGCGTCCAGTGTGTTGCAACCAACACTCCAGGATCGTTGCGAAATCTGTACCCGGAGGACTTTTCTACTTGCCTTGTTTCGGATGGAGGATGGGCACAACCAAACCTTCCTGTCCCACTAGTAGCTAAGAAGGTTTGGTGTGTGTTTATCTATACCTTTCACGGTATCCTCGCGTTCTCAGTAACGTTGCCAACTCTCGTAAGTATCTTGCCCGGGCGTCAAGAGAAGACTCACGGGACCGACAGGCTGGACGTTTACCAAGTTGGGCGCTGGAGAGTGCGCATTTTCAAGTCATTTTTTGACGTGCCGACGGTATGCTGGTGCCAACAGATGGATGGTCAGGGTCTTCTCGAAAATGAGCGGCGAATTTCGGGAACCAAACAACGATTCATTGCACATGGAATATGCGCCAGAGTTGATGAATGTGGCGCACCTACATAGTCTATACTCGCATTTTTTTTATCTAGTACTGGCGGTGGTGATATTCGCACCATTTCCTGCTGAAGGCCAGGGGGCGTCTGTCTGCCTTCCCGTCCCCGGCGTTCATCCCCGGGACCTCCAAAAGTTAGCGTTCCTGAGGAAATCTGGAGAGATGCTGCGTGAGGAGTGGGGGAAGGGCGTGACATGTCTGCATACCTTTTGCTGTTACGCCATTAATTCCGGAGGGCGTTCCAAGTATCCAGTGTTCAGTGGATATCCAGTAGGGTGTGAACTCTAGGTGATTGGGGTATGTTTGCCGGAGGCAAATCTGTGGGGCATAACTGACAGAAACAATTGCCGTGCCAGCGGGCAGTAAACTTGAGGGAAATGATGACGCGATTCTTGCGTGCAACTTGGAGCCGTTCACCAAAGAGGAAACAATCTGTGTGACCTCGAATCAGAGCTCTCGTGTTGGATCGACACGAGACACATGTGCAGCGACACTGCTAGATAGCGTCGGAAAGAGAGAAAAAAGCGGAGGAACAGGGAAGAACCGAGTACTGGTTGTTTGGGTGGTGAAGAAATCCCGACATGGCATGACATGTTGCACCTCCAGGGAATGCGCCCGAGATTTACCGGGATCGCTGGTACTAAAGCAATATTATAAGTAGGCCGAAGACGATGATTCCTGTAATGAAGGGCCTAATCGCCAGACAGAATGGTGGTGCGTACAAATGATATGTAAGCTCCACCTTCCTAAATATCTACATATATATAGAGAGAGAGATTGAGCCTCAACCAGATTCATTTGGCGTTTCTTTATCCCCGGTCCCTGTTGCTGTATACTGAGTTCAGGTATTGTCCATCGCGAAATATCAACATCTGAAGTGAAATGAGGGAAGTTGTGACGGATGGCAAGGGTACATGATAGTAGGGTATGTACGTATTTCACTGGGGAACTCAATTAGGAAGCAACTGATTGATAGAACATGAAAGGGAACTCGAGCACATCAGTCCACATCCATTCATTCATTCTTGGAAGTCGCTGTGTGCGGTATCGTCACCTGTACGGAAGCTTTCACTCTGAACCGCCAAAACAATCGCCACATGTAATGTCCCGCGTTCCGTTCTACTGTGGGTAGATTGTGTTCGAGATTGATATGTATTCGGTCATCGTGGCTGATGGCGAAACAATCGTCAGGTCGCTGGCGGGCCTGCCTGTCCTCTCTGTATTAGGATTGCCGTCGTTGAATGACGAAAAGAGGGACAACAATAAAATAATATTTCAACAACTTTGCGAGCACAGAGCAAGCGCAACGATTCTCAAACAACTTCAGAATGGATTATGAGGGACACATGGACCTTTGCGCGGAAGGAACGTGGAAGGATTGCTCGAAACTTCTGTTCACTGTCCGACGCTTTCCAGGTGAAATGTGGAATGTTTTGACCCTGCCTGGTCGGTCAGCCTTGCAGGAGCTATTCGATGACAAAAATCTACACGCTGTAGACACGCCTGGAACATAGCCAAGGCCTTGGACAAGAAAGAAGAGCCCCCCCGCGGTCGTTGGAGGGACCCCCTCCTTCACTATGATGACTAAAACAGAGTGAATTATATTGCACTGGGGCCGCGCCTCTTTCTCTCCCTCTCTCCGCCGTCTCTTGCCCCACTGCAACAGCAACATTCCAACCAGGGAGGAGGAGGACGAGGCGGAAACCCTGTGTCACTGGAACTCAGAACATGCCCACAACCCAGTCGTGGCTTCCCCGCCTGCAGTACTATCTCCTACTAATACTACCCAGGTGCCCTGCATCACGTTGAGCTGTTGATCCAGAATGTACCGTCTACCGTCGTGGTGGTGAAGTCACCGTGTCCGGTGCGAACGAACGCAGTCGGTCAAGACATCATCTCAGCCAGTACCTACTACCGTGACACAGAGAGAAAACCCCAACATATACTCGTAAGAACTTTACCCCCCCCAAGGCTAAATAACATACAGCATAAATCATACAAATAGTTTAGCCCGTCCCCTAGGTTCAATGTAAGGGATGGTATAACGCCATGCATGCAAAAGGCATGAAGAGGGTAGAAAACATACATTCAAAAGGGAACGCAGAGAGATCAAACACAACAGCAAGCATCGATAGGTACTCCGGCATATGAATACACACATTATTATCTACCGCCGTTCGTCTGCGACCTTTCAATGACGCATGCTGAAGCAGACTAAGGCTCGTTTACATCTCACTCTTGATGCAGATTGCAACAAGGACGCAAAACTCTCATCCGACGCCGCCGATAAGATCATTCATACCCGCAATGCGTACGTTCACCCAGCCCATCTTAAACCTCTTCCTACATCGCGGAAGAGGCCCGAATCGCAGTTACCTACAGTAGCCTTCCTGGCGCACGTTGCACAACTCTGACACGAACACACGCGACATCCGGGAGGTCGGTTCATCCAAACGCGCTACTACTACTTACTGCTATCAAATGTTGCCGCTGAAAGTTAGGATCCCAACGTGCAGGTGGTATTCGCAACAACACCGGATATGTCCTTCCCGAGTCACCATTCATCGCCCAACAACTTTTCTCATGAGGGCTTGCACGCCTGAACTGATTGTCAACAGCTGACCGTCTTCCATGCATGGATACTGCGACCAGTATCGTTCGGCCAACCAAGCGTACACCAACCCCATCAGTCACAAAAGAAACAGTTTAGGGAACATCTTTTGTCACGCTTCATAGAGTTTACCCTGTAGAAGTACATACACAAGGAGATAAAGGAAAATACTCAAAACTATACTGCATTAGTGACATTCAAATATTGTTCATAGTGTGGGTTGAGCCCGCACACCTCAAATCCCTGACAGACAAAATACAATCGAAACAACGATCAATCTCAAACGACATCTCGCACTCACTCCCCCTCTTGATGCTGCTACTGGGTTGGGCAAAACAAAATATAATGCAAAATTTCTAAGTTACTTCTTTCATCTTGTCGCTGTAGGCGACTAATTATTGGTGTCTTAATGGGGTATCATCGATACGGTCAGCACGCTCTCCCCGTCCTGGCGGTCGAATAACAAGCAGTCCGTCGCATGCCATTGTACCCCCCCCCCCACCCCATACATCGATACGCGCGTTCTCCTTCAAATACACATGTACTTTCACACTTATGAAAACTACGCAAGATCAGGCATTCAGTTGAAAAACTACTACGCATGCACATGAATATTCTATTAGTCCGCGTCCAGGCCCCAGCTGCGGCACACGACCTCGGCCTCTTAATTAAAATACCCGAATCCCCAGGACTACACATAAATGCGAACCCCCTGCTATACATTTTACCCAACAGAGGTCCACCGAGCACAAAATACGCCTAAATAATATAACGTGTCGATTGAAGGCCCGCACAGAAAATGTGACACCTGTTTTGCCCTGGCCAAGCGAGGTGGCAAAGTAAAGGCAAATGAGAAAATTCTAGAACAACAAATATGGCGTTGCATCAAATTAAAGACTCCTTCCAACTCCCCGCCCCCCTATACCCCCACCAACACCGCTGGCGGCAAACATCTACGATCCTACCCACTCACGAACCCCAGCTACCCCCGCCATTGTTACCTAACCCAACGCTCCCTCACACACCCGAACATGTACGTATCCGCTCACGCACCCAACTTGAGCTCGGACACAGATCAAGAGCGCCTTGCAATGGTATCGCGGAATGATGCGGCGCATCAGTAGATGATGACTTTGTCAGATGTAGGAAAACCAATCGGCGCTCTGTGCCCTCTCTCCCGTCTAGAAATGCTTCCCTAAGCAACATCGAACCCGCCCCCCCAACACAACCGGTAATGGTCCAGTTACTAGTAATCATAACCCGCGTGCCTTGTCCCTCCCGTGATCTGAAGTGCATCCCACGAGAGAAGAGCATGATGAGCTCATGCCCTGCCAGTGTGCTCCACAAGCTGTTTTGGTCTTCTTGCGAACATCGTACCTTCACCCCAAGCATGCGACTGACGCATTCTAAGCGTGTTATTAATCGTCAGAATGTAGCAGCGCTACCAAATACCCCCACGAATCACACCCAGTCCCTTGGAAATCCGCCCGCCCTCCTTTTATACCTCTTCTCACTTGTCACTCACAACAACCTCTGTACGGATTTCCACCAGGGAAGATAAAAATCGTTGGGACACAAGAAAAAAAACAAAATGAAAATAATTCCCTTATTCCTAGAGCCTGCAACAGCTTTGACGACAAAGAACGAGGAAATATCAATGATGGCCGTTGCGCAACGAGAGTCGTGACTACAACGAACTCAACCGCTTTGATGACTCTCGATCTTGACCGCCCTTTCTGCTACTACTGGAAGCCCGTCGAAATTTTACAAACATAACAGAACAACGTTCAAGCCTGACCGTTGACGGCCGACAGGTATATTTGGACCTCTCCAAAGCTCCCGCCATGAGAGCTCAGCCTCGGCTAGGCTGCCCTCGAGAGGGAGCTTCGGAATCTATATTTTCCAAACACACGTCGAGGCCTGCGTAGTCAGGGGAAACTTGCACGCAACAACACCGCCCCAAGGACCAAGGGCAGCCTTACGCGCCAAACACACTTGTTACCGGGGGCCCGGCGGGCTGTCGGTAGAGAACCTGGTACCGCTATCCCAGCCCCGTGGTCTAGGCCTAGCCCAGCTAGGTGTGCTACGCACGCATGCTCGCACTTTCAACCCTGGCCTCGTTGCTGCGTGCGTCAACACCCAGCGATCAGCTGCGATGGTGCCTACTACTTTTTTTCAAGTAAAATCGCGCGCTCGCGCAAAACGTGTCATTCATTAATCTTGTTTACCGGACAAAAAGTAAAAATTTGTATCATGAACAAATTACGCCGACCCTTCCAAGACAGGAGTCAATATGCAGCCACGCATCGTTTGCATACATTTCGCCATCCAGAAAGCGAGAGGTTATCCTCGTCCCTACCCAGACCGTGTCCGGCGAATCGTCAACCCCAAGCAAGGCGAATAGAGTCGCGACCGGTTTACACTCGCACGGAGATCGTAGCGAGTATACCCAGCCGCGCCCAACAGCGTCCAGACGGCTGCTCGCTCGGTCCCCTCGCACCAGGCGGCGCGAAGAGCCCGGACAAAAGCAGCCAACATCCAAGCGGAGCTGTGTTAAAAACCAGGCAACGAACGCCCCCCCCCCCCCCACC